GATGATGATTCTGTTCAACAAAAAGTTATTCTAGTTGCAGAAAAGGATCCAAAAAATGGGATTCTGGGGCTATTTAATTGTGTTAGAAGAGAATCTGGTGGTGATAGAACTAGGTTTGTATTCTAACTAACTAGGTAACTAGGTATCTAGTACATTATATGAACGTACAAAATATTATTTTAACAGTAGACTTTTTCCATCAATTCTACACAAAATATATTTTTAATTTGTAATTAAAATCTATCGGATATTAGTCCAATGTTGGACAAGTTAAGCTTTTAATCAACGAATTCAAATTAAGTTAATTATTTTAATATGAAAACTAATGAAGTTAAAAAAAATGTTATTTTCTTACATTTCCTGTTGTGGGTAGGAAGTTGGGAAGGTATGATATAGATAAGAATTTAATGTACATCTGTAAAACGATTAAGCATTGCTAACCAAAAAAACGAAAAAACATTTGATAATGTTGTTTTGTGAACATTATAAATGTCATGTAATGGAAAAATAATTACATATGCTTTAAACATTTGGGTAATATTGTACCTCTTTTCCCATACATTCGATTTTCCCATGTTTTCCTGGTTTTATGCACCAATAAACATCGCAAATTATTTGGAATCCTCCCATATTACGAGGAAGATGGCTTTATGTAATAAACTTCCAACAAATGAAGTTTTTTCTTTTCATCCTCAACGATAATTTTAAACTCGTATTTACCTAAATATCGATTTGTCATACTCATTAATACAAAACAATTATTTATTTTAATTTAGTTTATTATCGTTTAATAGATAATCTCTAAAATTTCTTGATACTATTGGGCTTTTGTCCATTTATTAATTTGAATAAATTATTATTATTATATTTTTTTTAAGTATTATATTTATTGATTTTGCTAAAAATTATTATTTAATATTTATTTGGTCTATTCATTTTTAGATGCGTGTTTATAATGGATGAAAATGCGCCAGCATTTTCGTTGGATGAACCTTTATATAAGAATCAATTAAAAAAGGATTTAGCATTAAATGTTTACAAAAATAATGTTTGGGGATCATATAGACATTTATTACTTGAACCTCCGTCTTTAGTAGAATCACAACATAGTTGTGCAAATACAACTATTCGTGGTGATTTATCCTCTTTCAAATGGTTGGATGCTCCAATTGTTCCATACTCACAAAACCCAGAAAATTCAAACGTAGTACATAATTACTATTGTGCAGTAAACTTTAAAGACATTATGTTAGCTACAGGAAAACTTGCTCCCGATGTTGTTGTCAAAGGTCGTATAAATCAAGAAAATCTACTCGGTTTCGAATATGCGGGACGTAATGAAAAAGGGGAACGGGTTATGGGACTGGTTGGTTCAAAGGCATTATCAAATTTAATTGAATGTGATCCATATTTTCTATGGAAGGTACCTGACCCGTGGTCACTTGAAGATGCAGCTACTGTACCAGTCGTTTACGGAACAGTATGAAAAATAGATTAACGTTTATATTAATTTTATAGTTAATTATGGTTTCTTAGGCATTATACTCTTTCGTAATCAGTGGTCGAATAAAACGTGGTGATTCTGTACTTATCCATGCCGGATCTGGTGGAGTTGGTCAAGCCGCTATAAATTTAGCACTTTTTTATGGATGTGAAGTTTTTACAACAGTTGGAACGCCAGAAAAAAAGGAGTTTATTAAAACTCATTTTCCACTGGTATATATTATTATATATTTTGTTTTTCAATCCGTAGGTCAATTTACATAATATTAATACTCCTTGTTTTCCTGTTGTTCAGCATGTCCTTATGCTCTTTACAGAATAAATCTTCTCTGTTGATTGGCATAACTCATGCTTTATCTTAATTGCAATCAAGAGTTATCATTCTTTCAGTTATGATGTGAGAAGTTGACTTAAAAGTAATAAATTATTGTTAGATTCCAGAAAGCCATATTGGTAACTCAAGAGATACATCATTTGAACAAATGATCATGATGGAAACAAATGGAAAAGGAGTAGATATGGTGTTGAATTCATTATCTGATGAAAAGCTTTTGGCCTCAGTTAGATGTTTAGCAACCGGTGGACGATTTTTAGAAATAGGAAAATTTGATTTAGCCAATAACATCATGTTAGGTAGGTAATGCATTCAATATAGAAATAATATAATATTTTATCAAAACCTTAATTTATTTTTAGGCATGGAATCATTTTTAAAAGATATTAGTTTTCATGGGGTTATGTTGGACACATTGTTTACTAGTGCAGCTAAATTTAAACATTCTTTACAGTGTCTTGTACAAGAACACATTGATTTGGGAGCTATAAAACCATTAGTACGTACAGTTTTTGAATGTGATCAAGTAGAACAAGCATTTAGGTACATGGCCTCAGGTAAAAATATTGGTAAGGTACTTTTGAAACTTAGAACTGAAGAAAAAGAACGTGTTATCAAAGCAATGCCTATACCTCAAATTGCTCATCCTAAAGTAATGTTTGATAAAAATTCATCTTGTATTATTTGCGGTAATTGTAATAAGAAATATATTTTATTTATTATAATAATGTGAATGTATTTACTATGAAATTGATTTATTTATAGGTGGTCTTGGAGGTTTTGGTCTTGAACTAGTTGATTGGATAGTTTTAAGAAATGCAAAGAATATTATTATTACTACTAGAGTAGGTATCCGCAATGGATATCAAGCATTAAGAAAACGCGTATGGGAATTATATGGAGTTAAAGTAGTTATTTCAACTGCTGATATTACTACTGAGGATGGAGTAAAACAATTACTTAATGAAGCAAATCAATTGGGACCAGTGTCTTCTATTTTCAATCTTGCTGTGGTATATATATTTATAATTTATTAGTTAATAATGGTGTTTTGGAAATAAAAAAACCTATAAGAAATATCATTTAACTTTAAAACTATAATTTACCAGTATGTTAATGTACATATTTAGTGATAATTAAACAATAAAAATAAACAATTGTTTTTAAATTGACGATAATTTAAACACATTTATTTCTATAAACCAATATTTTTGTAAAAAAAAATATAAAATATATATAGGCAAGTCCAGAAAAAGGGAGGGGCAGAGGAGGCCATGGCCTTAAGCTCCCTTAAGCTTAATAATTATACAACAATTCTATTAATTTTGGAAGTTAAAATCCAAACAATTAAAATTCCGATAGATGCAATATCATTGCATTTATTTTGCTCTCGTGGACTCCTCTGGCAAATATTTTATTTGAGAATTTAGAACTTGCGGGATTTTGACCCAGTGGGCATTGTAACTATCAAGATTTGGACCCTATTAGTATTTTGAAGTTTGTACTGTTGATATTTGGGACCGAGCTCATTGAAAGGTATGAATAAAAAAAATTTAAGTTTCTTCTTTAATCTTCTTATAAAATATGTTGTATTTCTAATGAATGCAATTTTTTAGAATATTTGAGTTGTAATTTTAAATCGTAAGACTCGAAGTACATAAGATTGTTATGACCTTGATTCATGTAATATTTGTACTCTTAGGAATACCATAATTACTATTATAAATACCATAGTCATTGATTTAAATTTTAAATTATTTTTTTAGGTTTTAAAAGATGCTTTATTTGAAAATCAAACTGAGGAAAATTTTATTGCATCTGCTGGACCAAAAGCTATTGCTACCGCATTACTAGATAAATATTCTAGAATAATGTGTCCCGAGTTAAAACATTTTGTAATATTTTCGAGTGTAAGTTGCGGACGTGGTAATACCGGCCAAACTAATTATGGCATGTCTAATTCAGTAATGGAAAGAATATGTGAAATCCGGAAATCAGAAGGTTTACCAGGTTTGGCCATTGAATGGGGAGCTGTCGGTGACGTAGGCCTTGTAGCTGATAAGGCTGAAGAAAATCAAGAAGTAGTCATTGGTGGTACTTTACAACAAAAAATAGACAACTGTTTAGAAATAATGGATCATTTATTAACTCAGAAAAACTATCCAATAGTCAGTAGCATGGTAGTTGCTGAAAAACGTGCTTCTAGTAGTAATACTGGCACTATTGTTGACACAGTAATTAACATGTTGGGTCTTAGAGATCTAAAAACGATTAGTTTACATTCAACTCTGGCAGAATTCGGTTTGGACTCAATTATTACTGTTGAAATTAAACAAATATTTGAAAGACAATTTGAAGTATTTTTAACGTCCCATGAAATAAGAAATATAACTCTATCAAAATTGCAAGAACTCGCAGCTTCGGATGTTAAAGAAAATAAACTCGGTTTAATGAACCCAAGACAATGAATGAAATATCTGATGTAGGATTGAGTTATCTTATAAAAGCTATAGGAGAAGAATCGTCTGCGAATAATTTAGTTGTGCATGTACCATCTTTATAAGATTGTTTCTAAATGAATAATAAAAAACAACATATGAAATTTACTTTACTTTTATTTTTATATTATTTCTGTTAGGTATTTTTTTCAAAAATTTAATTATTGCTAAATCAATTTTTATTTTTACTCACATAGCATTTTAATAATATATTACCTAATGTCAAGTTTAAAATTTTTAAATATTGATTCTTCATCTTAAATTACAGTCGTTTCTTCGATAAGTTGACCTTAAATAAACTAATAAATATTAATGTAAAAACGTTAAATAAAAACAAACAAAAATAAATATGCGAAAAATTGGTTTCAGTGTTATTTAAACTAGCAACCAATTGTCCCCTCTACGGTTATAATAGAGTTAGAATACGATTAAACAAAATTAACTTTTTTAACTTACCATATTCCGCACGTTTTCATTATACAAAATAATTTTTTGTTTACATACCTTGAAGTAACGTGATTCCACATAAATATTAATCCGATGTTATAAGTTATGGTTTTTATAAAAATATAAATTAGTAATAATAATCAATTATTAAATGTAAAATAATTAAGTATCTACTTCATAGGAGAAATCACGAATCTTCGCTATTGAGCTACCTAAACCTATTATTGAATTACAGAATCGTTTTGATGCTTTATAAAGTATTATATTATATTATTTTTAATACTTGTATAATTACATGATAATTGATTATTACCTTTCACCACCGGTATTACTGTATTAAAATGCAGACGCATATATAACTATAGTAACGGACGCTTCTTTATTAGCGTTAGCCGGTTTTGGTGTATAATATTGCAATAGTGACGCGAATACGGAAACATTCAACTAGTTTCTTTCGGTAAAAAAATTATCCCCAGCACAAAAACACTATTTAGTGTTATAATTAGAAGCGACGGCAATATTTTTTGGATGTCCACATTTAAACAGTATCTTTTTGGTAAACAATCTACGGCATGGACCGATTATAAAAATTTAGTGGGTTTACAAAAAATAAAATCTGAATCGTATAAGAACCAAATCAATAGAATACGACTTAAGAGGCTACAGTAAAAGTGAAACCTATGCAACGCTCGAGAGAGGTCGTAACCACGCTCTCTATCTCTCTGTCACAATAATCAGTTCGCGAAGTTTTGGTTTCTGTGCGGGGGAGCGCATTTTACTATTCTATGAGCGATCGTCCTGTTGACATTTTAATATAATTAAAATGTATTACTTGTGTATCGACGTTGCAGTTGCACCTTGCGCCAAACGCATTATCGCTGTAATGAATAAATAATTTATTAAATATAATTTCTATCATAGCTTTAATCGTTTTAATAGTATTATACATTTTTGTATTATTAAACAACTAGCGATGAATACCTACTTATCTACCAATTTATAAACAATTTAAACTTCACTATGCAATTTTTCTGGAAACGTTTTGATTGATTCAGGCACTGCTAAAAAGTAGGATTCGTGAAGCTACATAATATATAATTGTAGGTATTTGTTGAATAACAATAAATAATTGTTAATGAAATACGATTCTAAACAAAGTTCTGTTATACATGTTTCAAATTCCCGTGATGGTACTTACTATTTCCTTCAAAATTTAAAAAAGTTTTTAAAAAAAATTACGTTTCACTTTTTTTTTTACCAAGAAATACAACTTAATATAAATTGAAGGTACAAATATTTATAAATAGGTATATTATATAAAACTACATATTACTATTTGTAATAAAAATACATTTAGATATGCAAACATTATTATAAATAAGAATACATTATACATAGTTATAAGATACAAAGTATATCAATATTATAATTTTTCACATAAAATTAGTTTATAATGTATAAAAGCATTATTCTCGTAAATTTTCAGTTTTTCTTATGTTTTTTCCCATTTTTTCTCTTTTATTGGTGAAACTGCCGGAAAAATTAAAAAATGACCACGTTAAAGTACCACCCCCAACAAAATTTCCTTTCAAAAAAAGTTCTAAAGTAAAAATATTAACTTCGATCTCTTATATAGACTGTTAAGTCAAGAAAATTGATCCAATTTGTATAATACATCTAATGTTACCGAATTAATCAATATATTTTATGCAAAGTTGCTAAATTATATTGANTGAAAACGGTTCTCATTTTATTTATATCTCAAATATGTCTAGACTCATTAGATCACAGAAAACCTCCCACACTGAGAGCATCGTGTTTTGTAAACGGTGTTTTACATCATTTGATGACAGAAGGCATACATATAAGTTGAGTGGTATGAAAGCATTAGAACAGCATAAATTAATTTGTGGGACACACAAACCTATTCTACCCGTGATGCCGAAAGATGGGGACTGCGTTAAATTCAATGCGTGGGGAAATACAGATAGACACCCAATTGTCATATATGCAGATTTTGAAGCGCTGCTTCCGAAGAAATATGAGGAGAAGGGGGGAAATACAAGGATAATAAATAATCACGAAGCGATGAGTTATGGGTTTTTAGTGAAGGCGAGTGATGACGTACCGGCTAGTCTTTTGAAGGAGCATGGCATACCGACGGGGCCGGTAATTTATCGTAGAAATGAAAACAAACCGCACGTTGCAAAACATTTTTTGGGGAAGATTGTGGAAGTGGGGAAGAAGATTGAGAAGTTGTTAAAGACGAACGTACCAATGATTATGACGGAAGATGAAGAAAAAATATTTTCAGAGTGTAAGGAGTGTAATTTATGTAAAAGAGCCGTAGAAGGAGTCGATAAAGTTAGAGATCACAACCATCTGACGGGTAAATTTAGGTATACTTTGTGTTTAGGATGTAACCTAAAGTTACAGCAGCCCAAATTTATCCCGTGTTACTTCCATAACCTCTCTAATTACGACTCTCACTAGATCATTTTTGAACTCGGTTTCGATACCAATACTATTTACGTTATTCCGAACAGTGAGGAGAAATTTATTTCTTTTTCTAAATATATAAGCAATACTTTCACTATCCGGTTTATCGACACTTTCCGTTTCATGGCGTCGAGCTTGGGGAAACTGGCATCAAACTTAATCACACCACCGCTTGAAAATTTCCGTGAGACAGCTAAACATTTTGTCACTGAAGATATGAAACTAGTCACTCGTACAAGACAATGGAATCAAAAAGAAAGAGAATGAAAATAGAGTTGGTACCTAATGAGGAAAGAGTGCAAAAACTTATTAATAAGACGACTTTCAAACACGCGACTTACTACAGAGAAAATCTTATCGCTGTTTCACTGGAAAATAAAATAATTAAATTTGATAAACCTATATATATTGGTAAATATACTTTAAAATGCAAGAATATACTGAATTAATACAATTATTTCCTTTAGGATTTGCAGTATTGGAAATTTCAAAAACACTAATGTATGATTATCATTATAATGTTATGAAAAAACATTATAATGATAATATATCACTAATGTATACTGATACGGGTAAATTTATATTTTAAAACTACTCCCATACTATGTATTAATGAATATCATTATTTCAGATTCACTGATATATAAAATTATGACAGACGATTTTTATAATGATTTGGAAAAAAATTCAAACTTACTCGAGCGGATGGATACTGCAAACTTACCGCAGGACCATCCGTGTTACACTGCTGATAGAAAAAAGATCCCCGGATTATTTTCAGATGAGACAGACGGGCTTATTATAACTGAATTTTGTGCACTGCGAGCCAAAGCGTACGCATATAATATATACGGAGGTAAAAAAGAAAAAGAGATAATCAAGGCGAAGGGTATACGGAGTCATGTGGTTAAGAACCATATGACTCTGGAGGATCACAAAAAGTGTTTGTTTGGCGATCTAGAACTAGAGAAGAAAAAAGAGAATGTTTCTATACGTTCGTTCAAACACGATCTTAAGACCGTTAAGACTATGAAATTAACATACAATAGCTTTGACGATAAAAGGGTAATATTATACGATAAAATCCAAACCTTAGCTCACGGACACTATAGGATAGAGTGAGTTTTTAAAAATAATTTTTTTTTTTAGATTAATATGCTCATAATTTTTTTTTTGATTTTTGAAGGGAAGATAATGATTGTGACGATGATATTGAATCTACAGAGGTACTAGCTAAGTGACTTGGATGGAGTGAAATAGAAGTGCAATTGTATGAAGCACTTATCAGTTATTAATTATGTTATATATTTGTTTTATGTATATTATATATTGTTTATTATCTTATTGTGATATATATTGATTAATTGTAAAAGTATGAAAAAAAAAAAAACAGTTATAAAATAATAAAATGTCTTTTATCTTACTCGAGCGGATGGACACTGCAAACTTACCGCAAGACCATCCTTGTTACACTGTTGATAGAAAAAAGATGAAACCCAAACGGAAGATGAAGAAAAGGCTTTTTCAGAGTGTAAGGAGTGTAATTTATGTAAAAGAGCCTAGCTAGTACCTCTGTAGATTCACCATCATCGTCACAATCATTATCTTCCCTTCAAAAATCAAAAAAAATTATGAGCATATTAATCTAAAAAAAAAAAATATTTTTAAAAACTCACTCTTTATAAAATGTACACTGTTTGGGTTTCACGTCCATATGAAAAATACAGCAAGGTAAGTTGTCTTCATCACACAATTGATCTAGTCTGGGACAGTTCAAATCCTCCATATTAATAACGTTGACGTGACGAATAATTGCATGTATTTTTTTCTCTTTCTGCTCACCTT